TAGGCCGGCACCTACCTGAGCGCACTATCCTCATGACTCTACACAAGGGGAGGGGCCAGGTGCCTTTAGGGAGGGTAGCTGTAGTTGCTCTCCGTAGTTGTTGTCATTGTCTCTCCGTCATATACTCGCTCCTCGGAGCTTACACTCTAATCTTCTCTCTCAGCGGCATGATTGGGGAACGCTTGCCGCTCCGCTACTTCCTGTCTGGTGGGATGGTGGCCAGTGGCTTCTTCACCGGGCTCTTCGGACTCGGCTACTTCTACGACATCCACAACCTGACCTATTATATTATCATCCAGGTGAGTGAACTTCCTGCAGGTCTCGGGGGTCCTGGACACGCCCACAACGTAACACGTCCCCTCCCATCTCCACAGGTGCTGAATGGCTTGGTGCAGACCACCGGCTGGCCCAGTGTGGTCACCTGCATCGGGAACTGGTTCGGGGAAGGAAGGTAAGAGGTCTCTTGAAACTGCTGGGTGGGAGGAGGTGTAGTAGGAGGTGCAGTGGGAGGGGTCCTGGGACTGGGAGGTGTGGTGGGAGGGGTCCTGAGACTGGGAGGTGCAGTGGGACTGGGAGGTGTAGTAGGAGGTGCAGTGGGAGGGGTCCTGGGACTGGGAGGTGCAGTGGGAGGTGCACTGGTCGGTGACGCGCTCTCTCCCCTCTGTCCGCAGGCGGGGCCTCATTATGGGGGTGTAGTGGGAGGGGCAGTGGGAGGTGTACTGGTCGGTGACGCGCTCTCTCCCCTCTGTCCGCAGGCGGGGCCTCATTATGGGGGTGTAGTGGGAGGGGCAGTGGGAGGTGTACTGGTCGGTGACGCGCTCTCTCCCCTCTGTCCGCAGGCGGGGCCTCATTATGGGGGTGTAGTGGGAGGGGCAGTGGGAGGTGTACTGGTCGGTGACGCGCTCTCTCCCCTCTGTCCGCAGGCGGGGCCTCATTATGGGGGTGTAGTGGGAGGGGCAGTGGGAGGTGTACTGGTCGGTGACGCGCTCTCTCCCCTCTGTCCGCAGGCGGGGCCTCATTATGGGGGTGTAGTGGGAGGGGCAGTGGGAGGTGTACTGGTCGGTGACGCGCTCTCTCCCCTCTGTCCGCAGGCGGGGCCTCATTATGGGGGTGTAGTGGGAGGGGCAGTGGGAGGTGTACTGGTCGGTGACGCGCTCTCTCCCCTCTGTCCGCAGGCGGGGCCTCATTATGGGGGTGTAGTGGGAGGGGCAGTGGGAGGTGTACTGGTCGGTGACGCGCTCTCTCCCCTCTGTCCGCAGGCGGGGCCTCATTATGGGGGTGTAGTGGGAGGGGCAGTGGGAGGTGTACTGGTCGGTGACGCGCTCTCTCCCCTCTGTCCGCAGGCGGGGCCTCATTATGGGGGTGTAGTGGGAGGGGCAGTGGGAGGTGTACTGGTCGGTGACGCGCTCTCTCCCCTCTGTCCGCAGGCGGGGCCTCATTATGGGGGTGTAGTGGGAGGGGCAGTGGGAGGTGTACTGGTCGGTGACGCGCTCTCTCCCCTCTGTCCGCAGGCGGGGCCTCATTATGGGGGTGTAGTGGGAGGGGCAGTGGGAGGTGTACTGGTCGGTGACGCGCTCTCTCCCCTCTGTCCGCAGGCGGGGCCTCATTATGGGGGTGTAGTGGGAGGGGCAGTGGGAGGTGTACTGGTCGGTGACGCGCTCTCTCCCCTCTGTCCGCAGGCGGGGCCTCATTATGGGGGTGTAGTGGGAGGGGCAGTGGGAGGGGTACTGGTCGGTGACGCGCTCTCTCCCCTCTGTCCGCAGGCGGGGCCTCATTATGGGGGTGTAGTGGGAGGGGCAGTGGGAGGGGTACTGGTCGGTGACGCGCTCTCTCCCCTCTGTCCGCAGGCGGGGCCTCATTATGGGGGTGTAGTGGGAGGGGCAGTGGGAGGGGCAGTGGGAGGTGTACTGGTCGGTGACGCGCTCTCTCCCCTCTGTCCGCAGGCGGGGCCTCATTATGGGGGTGTAGTGGGAGGGGCAGTGGGAGGGGTACTGGTCGGTGACGCGCTCTCTCCCCTCTGTCCGCAGGCGGGGCCTCATTATGGGGGTGTAGTGGGAGGGGCAGTGGGAGGTGTACTGGTCGGTGACGCGCTCTCTCCCCTCTGTCCGCAGGCGGGGCCTCATTATGGGGGTGTAGTGGGAGGGGCAGTGGGAGGTGTACTGGTCGGTGACGCGCTCTCTCCCCTCTGTCCGCAGGCGGGGCCTCATTATGGGGGTGTAGTGGGAGGGGCAGTGGGAGGTGTACTGGTCGGTGACGCGCTCTCTCCCCTCTGTCCGCAGGCGGGGCTTCATTATGGGGGTGTAGTGGGAGGGGCAGTGGGAGGTGTACTGGTCGGTGACGCGCTCTCTCCCCTCTGTCCGCAGGCGGGGCTTCATTATGGGGGTGTAGTGGGAGGGGCAGTGGGAGGTGTACTGGTCGGTGACGCGCTCTCTCCCCTCTGTCCGCAGGCGGGGCTTCATTATGGGGGTGTAGTGGGAGGGGCAGTGGGAGGTGTACTGGTCGGTGACGCGCTCTCTCCCCTCTGTCCGCAGGCGGGGCTTCATTATGGGGGTGTAGTGGGAGGGGCAGTGGGAGGTGTACTGGTCGGTGACGCGCTCTCTCCCCTCTGTCCGCAGGCGGGGCTTCATTATGGGGGTGTAGTGGGAGGGGCAGTGGGAGGTGTACTGGTCGGTGACGCGCTCTCTCCCCTCTGTCCGCAGGCGGGGCTTCATTATGGGGGTGTAGTGGGAGGGGCAGTGGGAGGTGTACTGGTCGGTGACGCGCTCTCTCCCCTCTGTCCGCAGGCGGGGCTTCATTATGGGGGTGTAGTGGGAGGGGCAGTGGGAGGTGTACTGGTCGGTGACGCGCTCTCTCCCCTCTGTCCGCAGGCGGGGCTTCATTATGGGGGTGTAGTGGGAGGGGCAGTGGGAGGTGTACTGGTCGGTGACGCGCTCTCTCCCCTCTGTCCGCAGGCGGGGCTTCATTATGGGGGTGTAGTGGGAGGGGCAGTGGGAGGTGTACTGGTCGGTGACGCGCTCTCTCCCCTCTGTCCGCAGGCGGGGCTTCATTATGGGGGTGTAGTGGGAGGGGCAGTGGGAGGTGTACTGGTCGGTGACGCGCTCTCTCCCCTCTGTCCGCAGGCGGGGCTTCATTATGGGGGTGTAGTGGGAGGGGCAGTGGGAGGTGTACTGGTCGGTGACGCGCTCTCTCCCCTCTGTCCGCAGGCGGGGCTTCATTATGGGGGTGTAGTGGGAGGGGCAGTGGGAGGTGTACTGGTCGGTGACGCGCTCTCTCCCCTCTGTCCGCAGGCGGGGCTTCATTATGGGGGTGTAGTGGGAGGGGCAGTGGGAGGTGTACTGGTCGGTGACGCGCTCTCTCCCCTCTGTCCGCAGGCGGGGCTTCATTATGGGGGTGTAGTGGGAGGGGCAGTGGGAGGTGTACTGGTCGGTGACGCGCTCTCTCCCCTCTGTCCGCAGGCGGGGCTTCATTATGGGGGTGTAGTGGGAGGGGCAGTGGGAGGTGTACTGGTCGGTGACGCGCTCTCTCCCCTCTGTCCGCAGGCGGGGCTTCATTATGGGGGTGTAGTGGGAGGGGCAGTGGGAGGTGTACTGGTCGGTGACGCGCTCTCTCCCCTCTGTCCGCAGGCGGGGCTTCATTATGGGGGTGTAGTGGGAGGGGCAGTGGGAGGTGTACTGGTCGGTGACGCGCTCTCTCCCCTCTGTCCGCAGGCGGGGCTTCATTATGGGGGTGTAGTGGGAGGGGCAGTGGGAGGTGTACTGGTCGGTGACGCGCTCTCTCCCCTCTGTCCGCAGGCGGGGCCTCATTATGGGGGTGTGGAATTCGCACACCTCGGTGGGGAATATTTTGGGGTCCCTGATCGCCGGTTTCTGGGTGTCGTCATGTTGGGGGATGTCCTTCGTTGTTCCCGGGATAATCATCGCAGTCATGGGCGTCCTCTGCTTCCTCTTCCTCATCGAACGTAAGTCATACATTTTGGAGCTTTCGTCATTGTGATCCTCGGGCTCTCTGACATGTTTCTTCTCTTCCTGCAGATCCCCGAGACCTCAACTCCCATCCTCCGAGGGTAAGAAGACTTCCCGGTCATGTCCGTCCTCTGCTCCCTATATTGTAGGACATTCCCGGTCATGTCCGTCCTCTGCTCACTATATTGTAGGACATTCCCGGTCATGTCCGTCCCCTGCTCCCTATATTGTAGGACATTCCCGGTCATCTCCGTCCCCTGCTCCCTATATTGTAGGACATTCCCGGTCATGTCCGTCCCCTGCTCCCTATATTGTAGGACATTCCCGGTCATGTCCGTCCCCTGCTCCCTATATTGTAGGACATTCCCGGTCATGTCCGTCCCCTGCTCCCTATATTGTAGGACATTCCCGGTCATGTCCGTCCCCTGCTCCCTATATTGTAGGACATTCCCGGTCATGTCCGTCCCCTGCTCCCTATATTGTAGGACATTCCCGGTCATGTCCGTCCCCTGCTCCCTATATTGTAGGACATTCCCGGTCATGTCCGTCCTCTGCTCCTCTTCCGATGTCTTTGCATTGTATGACTCTGATCCCCAGTCATGATCGTCCTCCTATTGAGCTTCTTCCACTGACTCCTCCCCCTCCAGGATTACCTGACACAGGTGTTGTCTCCTCCACAGGCTCCGCCCAGTTTGTCCTGTAATGGTTTTAAGATCCAGAATCAAATCCTGAGAGCAGAAGAGTCGGAGGCGGAGAAGGTAAGTGATGTGCAGGGGGGGAGGGGCGGGGTCTCCCCTGCGGGTCTCCTGAGGGGGAGGAGTTCGGGGGAAACGGATCGATAACGCAGAATGATTTGTAGTTCTATGCGGCCAGTCACCTGACTGACACTCCTCCTGCCGCACGGCCAGAACATCGCTGCACCGTTCCCTTGTTCTTTCCCCGGCACCTGAAACATGTCGGAGAACACTCTGTGATACACGAGGGTGTGAACGTCTGGCAGACCCGACTTCTGCAGAGGACGGCGCCGAGCTCAGCTGACCAATCCGATCAATCAATGCGTTATAAGCTTTGCCCCGCCCCCCACTATAGGGTGGCCGGTGATAGAA